TGTTGTTCCCCCGCCCCCTCCTCAGCCCGGCGAGCGGAAACCTGCCTGTATGTGGCACCCGCACCCTCGGGCGGGAGCGCCGCCGCGCTTCCCAAGCGGCGCACTATCCAGTGTGCCACCAGGCCGGCCCCTACCATAAAAACTTTTCTAACGAGATGGATAGTATTTAACAAATGTCATTTTTTAATATAAAGATTTTATCTGCATTTAGAAGATCTGCATAACTCAGTGAATCAGTATTTTCTGGATGACCAATACATAGTGTTATAAAATCATGCATGGGTAAAAGATCTGTTTGAAGTGGAAGATGGACCAGTTGATTTTAATGTAGCAGAGTATGAAAAAGTTCATTGATAGGTTTCAGATTATACAAAGCAACTGATCTTTTTTTTTTCCTTTTTTTTTGTCTTTTTTTCGTGTCCGGCAACGGATCGCAACCCTCAGTGTCGCGCCCGTACTGGACCAGGACCGGCAACGGGATCGCAACCCTCGGTGTTGCGCCCACACCTCGCTCAGCCAGTGAGCGGGAACCGGTCTGTATGTGGGATCCGAACCCTCGGCGGGAGCGCCGCCGCGCTCCCAAGCGGCGCACTGTAGCAGTGCGCCACCGGGCCGGCCCTAAGAAACTACCACTTGTCCAGTTTTCAAAGAAGAATGTCCACCATTATCTGAAAGAGATTTTAAAATACTTCTCCTTTTTCCAGCTACATACCTGTGTGAAGTCAGATTTTCTTCATTTACTTCAGCCAAAACAGCATATCAAAACAGACTGAATGCAGAAGCAGAACTGAGAATATAGCTAGTTCTGTTAAGCTAGACAATAAGGAGATTTGCAAAAATGTAAGACAATGCATTCACTATTTTTTGAAAATGTACTTTTTTTTAGAAAAAAATATTTTTGTTGACATGTAATGGGTTCACTATTGCTATTTTTTTTTTTGTCTTTTGTCTTTTTCCGTGTCCGGCAACGGATCGCAACCCTCAGTGTTGCCCCCGCACCGGACCGGGGACCGGCAACGGGATTGCAACCCTCGGCGTTGCTCCCGCGCCTCGCTCAGCCAGTGAGCGGGAACCGGTCTGTATGTGGGATCCGAACCCTCGGGCGGGAGCACCGCCGCGCTTCCCAAGCGGCGCACTATCCAGTGCGCCACCAGGCCGGCCCCACTATTGCTATTTTTAAACAATAAATATTTAAAAATTTTTCTCAGTTTTAAATTCTAAAATGGCAAATAGTGATAGATATAACCCACATAACAAAAGCTCTTTGGGGTCCTCAATAATTTTTGAGAGTATAAAGGGATTCTGAGACCCAAGAGTCTGAGAACTGCTGATATAGTATTTTATTTTGTAGATGTACTGTTAATTATTTAACTGACTTCATATTGGATGTTAAACTTATTCCTTTTTTTTTTTTTTTTTTTTGCTATTGGAAACTGCATTGCTCTGAACATTTTTGAAAAGAAATATGGTATTTAGTTTCAAGAAATACTATGCCAAATACATAGCCAGAGGGGGAGAGAGAGAATTTTTGTTTGTTTATCTTATCATCTGTAGTGGACTTTATGTCTTCCCAGCATAGATTCTGTGTTTCCCCATTTCCTGTGGTGCTTGATTTCTGTTTGGGTTGGTTCTAAGGAGAATAAATCCAACCTGGATATGGGACTGACACCTATGACCTCATCTAAACTATTCCCTGGCAACAGTGTTTGGATCTGGGGTAGGAATGTGACCTGAGCTATTTCAGTAAGAGTGAATCAGGACTTTTTATTGCCATGCTGGAACAAATATGTTCTCTTTTCCCCTGATACCTATAAGGAAGCATGAACCTTTGAAGTGTTGGAACAATTTTAGCATCATGAAGAATAATCTTTTAGTGAAGCTGACACTGAGGGAGGCTGACTAGAAAAATGGAAAAAAATCAGATTATTGGTGATATTGCTGAGCTGCTAATTTGTGCCTTTCCTGAAAGCAGCCTACCTTCGAATATTTCAGATACATGGGGCATTAACTTCCCTTTACTTATTTAAAACTGTTTGAATGAGGGTTATTTGTTTTTAACTTCCAGTTGTGTCCAGTTGTCACAACTGTACAGTGATGTGATTGACAGACCCCCAGCAGACACAGAAGATGTAAAGTTTCTTTAATGGCAAAGGATGTGTAATCTCAGAGATAGTTACACAAAGTAGAAGACAAAGCAGCGTGACCCCAGATGGAGGCATAGGCTTCCTGGATCTCCAAGTTCTCCAGGAGTTCGCCTGGGTTTTTTTATCCCTCCAGCTCCCCTCCCCTCACTCCCTAACACCTGAGTATGTTTTGGAGGCTCTGGCTATATGTACCTGTCTGATCACCAGGTGCAAGGAACTGATATAAAATGACCTCAGCACATTACAGAGTACTGACTATAAGAATAGGTGAAATGAAGGCTTATTCCCCAGTTATAGCAAATCCTTAAGCAGTCCCAGGCCTCAAGTTTGCCTCAGGTTCATTCTCAAAAATAGGGAGTTTCTTCTAGGGTACTGTTCTTGTGCCATTTCTTCCAAAAAATATTGCTTTCTCTTCTGTGTTGTGATTTGACCATGGAACTGTGACCATAGAGTCAGACAAAGAGGTGTTGACACTTGTTTAGAATTCAAAAAAGTGTAGCCGCTATCAGATAG